AAATAAATTATACTTTAAATTTGGTACATATAACACATTAGACAAATAATTTGTATTCATGTTATTTCCCACATAACATATTATGTTAATATTTCCCGAACCTTCTGCCTGTAAATTTGTACCATCGCCAATCCTTATTTCCACTGGCGACCTGAATTTTTTATAGTTCACAAACCACTCTCTGTTGCTTGTCATGTGTTCAGTAGCTCCTGAATCCAAATACCATTGATTCTCTTTGCGATCAGTAACCAAAGATTCACTATAGAACGCTTGACCTGTTAAACTTGTACTTGGCGAATCTGATTTCGCCTCACCCTGATCCTTCTGGTACTTTTGATACTTCTTGCAGTCTTTCTTGAGATGACCTAGTTTCTTGCACCAAAAACAGGGACCTATCTTTTTAGTATTATTATTACTAAAATTACGTTCATTACCAACATTACCACCATTCTTCTTAAAAAATTTCTTTTGAAATCTTTTGACAGTCAAAGCATTGGATTCCTCTGCTTCAACTTCTGAACTTCCTTGAGACATTCTCGATTCTTCTATTAACAACCGAGATGTAAGTTCATTTAAATTTTTACTTGCTTGAGGTACACTGTCCCATGCACTGTAAAAATGTTTATAAGATGGCGGTAAAGTCATAAGAATTTTAGTTAGCAACATATTGTCAGAGATTTTCTCTCCCGATAGAGCGAGTTGGTTTTGAAGACTCTGTAGTTTGCTGATATGCGTCGAAATGTCATCTGTAGGCTCTTTTACATAACTGAAAAATTTATTTTGTAATAAATGTATACCTGCTTCAGATTTTTGCTCGTAGATACTTAATAATTTGTTCCACATATCATATGCTGTACTACAATTTAGCAAATATTGTAACGGTCCATTTTCCAATGACGTGACGATTAATCTTTGACATTTACTATCAGCCCTTGACCACGCTATTCGTTCTAACTGAAACCTTTTCTTGGCATCCTCTTCTTTCTCGGAGGTTGCTATTGTATATACTGGCTTTTTATAATCTCCTGTAATTATACCGCTTACCTCAAATGAATTAATTATTACCTTCATTTGAAACTTCCAAAGTGTCCAGCCTTCCGAGTTACTCAGCTTTGTAATCTTCAGTGACTCGTCCATAGTTAAAAGATAACGTACTTAAAAATAGTACTTACTGAACAATTGGAATAAGTGAATTTTAACTACATAAAATACTTAGTCTTCTGATGCTTCACTGTTGTGCCTGAGACTATGTGTCTGGGCCCATAACCTATTGCGATATACGCCTGTATATCTTGGTGGAAGTTAGTATTTAAGTAGAAAATAAAACACAACAATAATATGTTTAACACAATACTATTAAATATAAAAACACACACAGTATAGAGAATAATATATATACAACGTACGTTTCAATTATAACAGCAGCCGTAATAGAATGGTAAATCCAACACCTTAATACTATGTCTTATATACTATACAATCTAGGTTACAGACGTAATTGGTCCTTGTATAAACAACTTAAATATTACTCATGATTTCATCAGTGTACACTTATACTACCATATAAGGTTATATAATAATTATTACTTATCCATGACCCAAATAAACAATATTAATTATATTCAATATCTATTCAAGCTGTCATCCTGTTTATTCCCTTTCTCGTGAAAACCTTAGTGATACTAATACACTTAATTAATGATCACCTAATAAATATGTACTGTGTTAATACGGATGTTGTTGTTTAATATGTTAGGGAACTCGGGGCAATGCCCTGGTGTCGAAACACTTAAGCTAAAATATTATGTACTTACTCGAAATAAGTTTATCGACACAAGGGCTTTAAAAACCAAGTCGCTATTTTACTACTTTATCTATTTTACTAGAGCTTCGCTCTAGCTGGGGGCTCCGCCCCCAGGCCCCTAAGTCGGGCGGGTAGGTCACTGATTCCTGGTACTGTACCCGGCTACGCCGGGCACGCACGCTCACGTCCCCTCGCTGCAAAGTATTTTCGGGGAGGTCACAGATTCCGAGGGGGGTGCCCGGCTGCGCCGGCCACGGTGTCGAGCCATCGCAATACGTCTTAAAGGAATGACGTTATAATTCATGGTACCTATAGGCTGTATCTAGTAATCAGAATTCATACCTAGTTATGGACAAATATTTGCAAGCTAAGTACTGATTAAATGTAGAGTAAGTCTAGCTATGTATCTGTAATTTTTTTAAATTTTAATATGAAAAGAATAGTCTAGAAGTTAGACGGTTAATAAATATCAAGTGTCCGGTGTTGCTTACTTGGGTTGCTACCACTTTTACCAATTTTTATGAACTAACAATGTCCAGTTCCTTATCAGCGGGCGGAATTCGTATTGAAAACTGATAAGGACGGCAGGTCTCCGAGTGTTTTGGCATTCACTCGCTCCGCCAACTAAAAATATCCTAGGTTTGTAGGCTACAGTCTATGAGGAGGTAACAGGTTTAAAATTAAGTTTAAATTAAAATTTTAAAAAGTTAAAGAGGCTTGATAAGAAGCTGGCCATTGGGAAAAAGTGTACAATGGAAATTGTCTTTGGTAAATGTTGTCATATTATAGACCACGTCATCAATATAGGCCGGCGTCATCCCGCTTAATTTTATTAGTTGAAAACAGATAAAAATTTCTAGAGGACAGTCAGCTAAATGTCTGTTAAGGTTTACCTTTGTGAAAGAAAATTTGTTTAAACGTAGTATGTTATATGTCTGTACACAGCAGTTCCGAGGGGGGTGCCCGGCCACGGTGTCGAGTCAGCTCACTACGTTTTAAAGTATACCGTTATAATTCATCGTACCTTTATCTAGTAATCATAGTTCATACTTATTTTCGAAAAAGTGTTTTGCAAGCTAAGTACCGGTTAACTGTAGTGCAAGTCTAGCTATCTGTCAGATCAGAAACGTCCTACTACTAAAGCAAGTGTGCTACTTGCTTAAAGGACAATTTTTTTTTTTTTTTAATTTGAATTGTTTGAGGTGTTGTTTACTTCACGGGCTTGGTAATAGCTATGGTTAAAAATAGAAAGAAATGTTTAGAGGTCAGTCTGTATATGTCTGATATGGTGTTCCTATGTGCAACAAAACTTTTTCAAACGTATACGTTATATGTCTAGATATTGGTTGAATTAAAATTCTTATTTGTTCAGAAATCACCGTCTATGCCATTATTCGGTAATGACGTACTGTACGTTTATAATGTAACCAACAGCATAATGCATTAAATATGTATATTAAAGGTCTGGTGGTTTAACAGAAGTTCATAAGTGTTTAAGAATTCAAGAGTAAATCACATGAATGAAATGTCTAGAGTTTATATTAAAACTTAAAAGGGAAAGAAGTGAAGAGTGATAAATACATTATTTTGATTTTTGATCGACTATTTGGCAGAGCTTATAAAAATGTCCAAAGAGAGGTTAAATGAAATGTCTCGATGCAAATCTTTTAGTTTTTGGATCTGGACCTTTAATGCTAAAGGTACTTTGATACTTAAGGTCTGACGTTTGTTGGTTATTAGAAGTTTAAAAGTGTGGAAGAATGATATGTTTGTGTGACGGTTACTTAGGAACTCAAGAGTAGAAAACATGAATGAAATGTCTGAAATAATTTGTAGCAAATATTTTTGATTATTCGAGTGTCCGGCGGTGATTATAAAAACGGTCAGAGTACAAAATGATAATAATAATAATATTCAGTGCATAAAATACCTAAATTATTTGATACTTATCCAGACATATTTTATACATAATGGATAAATTGATATATACATTAATACTTTTTTAAGTAAAGCATGAAAGGTATAAATCCATATGTTGATATATTTTTAGATGGCTAACCAACAATTCATCCTGCTAAATGATAATAATCAAAAACTTTAAAATAATTTTATTTTTCATTATGTAGTATCAATTTAAAAAAATATAGCAAAATCTATAGATTTACTATACTTTTTTAGGGTGGAGCGAATACTTATATTATACTTCTATAAATAATAAAATAGTAAATTAAATGTTGATTTTCAATATAAATTTTAACCCTTTGAAGCACGCACAGCATTTTTTCTCCGATTTTCTCTGAACATGATTATGAAGGTGGTAAGAAGAAATCACATTTTAAGGTTTTAATTTTCTGCACAACATTATTCAAGTGTTAAGTATCTAAAAAAAAAATAATGCAACTAAAATATGTTATTTATTTCATTACCTTCTATTCTTAGCTGAGATGGTATTGTTTTTACAATGCTGTGTTTTTATTTATGTATTTTTGTTTGTCTTATCTTTTAAGCCACTGAACTGATTTCTTCGTGTAGCAACTCTATAGATCAGAAATCGTACCTGTAGCTACTTAAATGGATCTAAAATTTAAGAAAGTTTATCCCTTCCCATCAAAATGGAGAAAAACGCCCAAAAAATGATTAAACACCAGCAATGTTAAAATTGTATTTCCGAAAAACTATGTCTTTTTAGTTGTGACAGTTTTGCCCCAAGAGTGCGAAATATACCATGACCCACTTACTATGTTCTGTTAAGTAATATAATATGAGATGTTTACATACGACACAGTAGGTACCTATTTTTTTCTCTTCAATTTCACTAAGTGTTTGACAACCTACTAGATATTTTATAGTGGTGATAGTATCAAACTAATGTGTAATTCATAGTACATTTTATATCATTTGACAGTTGTCTATAGTGAACAAGTTTTGGAACCAAACAAATATTTTATAGCTTTTACGGCAGTTTGGGTTTTTAGTACCAGCTGTGATAACGCATTAATAATTTTGGCGATGAGCAAACGATCCTTATCAATCTAAATATCACCGGCGGGGGCACATACTGTTATCAGTAAACAATCGGTAAAAACCTGTTTACCTAAATATGGTATAAGGCTACCAACGCTTGTTGTTTGTTTGTGTTATAATATACTGATAATAGTTTTTGTTGATGTTTACATTTTAAAGTGACAGTACGCGTTTAGTCATTAGTGTAATGTGTATACATTCCACCTTGTGTTCCTGGTTTGTGATTTTTACGTTTAATTGAGAAAAACAAATGGAAATACATTTACTTTACAGCTCTTAATTAACTAAGATAAGTTTCGTCCAGTAGAGGCCAAAGACGAGGCTTCCGTGCCGTTAAATTTCTTTCGTTCCTATTATTTTGTACATGACATCAGGACCGGAACGCTGTAATTGAAACCCTGAATTATAACACAATCGATAGCACATTACATAAGAAGGAAAGAAATACCAAATCATTTTAGTAGAGTAGAGTATCGGGGTGTTTACTGTTTGTGCTATTGTAATAACGTTTGTATCGGTCGGTCTGTTCGTTTTTTAAGACGACTGAGAAACTGCAACCTAATTTAATCAAGTAAGTGGTTGTATAATTATTTTAGATTGTATACAATAACTATAAAAGTTCAATAGTATTAATACATTTTTTTTTTTTTGAATGAACGATGCAAAAAAAAAGCTATCGAAGAATCATTTATTTAAATGAAAAACGTTCAACTGGTTATATTTGTACGACAGAATAGATGAATAGCACAAATATTATCTCAATAGAAATTAGTGTAATGGCAATAATGTGATTAAAATTGTTTTATTAGTATTAGGGTTGGTCATTATAAATCATAATTAATAATATGATAACAATATTTTTCTCATACTTGTTGATTCATTCACACATAACAACCTGGAAAATAAAAAATTACACTAATTTACTCTTTTTTTTTGTTCTTTCTCAAATTAGAAGTTTTTCTACAATAATTATACTTTGTTCATGTATAATGGTAGTACTATACCTATCTAAACATATTTCACACAATCTAATACTAACCTAACCTTTTTGGCTTCGCGTTAAAGCTAAAATTACTACTCGTGTATTCAAAAATATATAACTCTTGAAGAGTTTGTAAAATGTATTTATTTTTTAAAATCGGGCAATTTTAAAGTATTAGATACTTAGAGTATACAAAAATTCATGAAAATCTACAAGGCAAAAGTCAACTGGGTTACAATGTGAATTATTTTACCGCGTAATTTAAATAGCTAATTATATTATTTGATATCTGGAACATGTTTTAGGGAAGACAAATTGTTGAATTCTGGAACAAGTAAAACACTGTTAAGTGCAACTGTACAAGTTTCCATAAAGACTGTTAATCTAGTAAAATAACAAGCATGGAGGCTATGTTGGCAGAATATTATAAAAACTTTTATCATTTCTTTCAGTAAGTTATAAATTATGTATTATTAGTTTATAAGCTATACAAAATTAGGTATTATTTATTACCAATTAATGTTTCTAATTTTTCGTGCTCTTTCAAATAATGTAATTTATAAATATTTATGTAATTAGGTATGTATAAGAATCTATATATTGTATTTTAAAATTGTGTAATATTATTAACTGTATAACAGTAGCGTCAATTCGGCAGTCTGTACAAATGACCCACATTAACTTAATGTAAAGTTAGCAAAACAATATTAACTTTTTTGAAGTGTAACTATTTTTGTATTTTTATTTGAATGTGTCACCTTCTTTTTGCTACTCACGTTTAGTTAAAAGTTTATATCTAAATAGAGCCACTGGTACAACCTTTTTAGTGGTCAAAATTGTATAAAGCCTCTAATCCCTAAGTTCTATATAGATACAGATATAGCCACTAATCTAGCTCTAATTGGATTAACATGTTTTTACATTTATGCAGGACGAATATCCTTTGCGATGTTAACTTGGTTACCGACGATGGTGTTCAAATTTCTGCACATAAATTAATATTGGCTTCAGCAAGTTCTAATTTTTTAATGATGTTCACCGGACCATTCAGTGAAAGTACAAAAAAAGATGTTTGTATAAAAGAAATGGACTCTGAAATACTAAAAACGATAGTCAACTATATATACACCTTAAAACTTGATATCAATGAACATAATGTCGAGGTAAGAAACACGCAACAGTATATTTAAAGTTCATTATAATTATTCTATCGTTAATTACTTATTATTGTTTTTTTTAGAAAATGTTGCATGCTGCCAATTTTTATGATTTAAACTACGCAAAAGAACTGTGTTTTGAATACATAAAAAAAAATATAAATCATAAGAATTGTGTTAGTTTATTGGAGACTTCCACGTTAATATCGCACAAAAAGATTTACAGTTTTTGTTGGTTGTACTTGTTAAATAATTTCAGGTAGGTAATCAAGTTTGACACAGGGTCATGACAGTTAATGAAATAATCAAATAATATTACGGTGCATTTTTTTTTTATTTAGCTTAATTATAAATTCGGATTCATCGTTAGAATACCTATATGAATTTCAGTTTGATGATGTCGTCGAGTTAATATCAAACGAAGATTTAGTAATAGACTCTGAAGAAAAGGTATATTATTCTAAATTGAGTGTAAACGTTCTTGTCAATTACACGCATAGTTATTTATTATTATAACGTGATTAGAAACGGAAGAAAATAGTTATTGTCAACACTATCAATTTTGTTTTAGATTTTTGATTTTATCATCGGTTGGATAACCTATGACGCGAATGAACGAAGTCCCTTGTTACCAGATCTCATGAAGTATGTACGTTTGCATTTAATTTCAAAAGTGGGACTTCAACGAATTTGTGATGAACCTTTATTGAAAGCAAACGATGAGCGTAAGTGCATTTTCAATTCACTTTGTATAATAACAAGGCAAAAACGATGAAACCCACACAATGGTCGAAAATGAGTTAAGTTTTTTTTTTTCAGTATATTTATCTCTAAAGACAGAAATCTACGTTAATCTACGTGTCAACTCACAAGATAGATTAACATTAGGGAGGAACCTGCTACCCAACGTATGTAAAAAAAATGTTAATCATCGTGTTTTACACGTTTAATTGGTTTGAATGTTATTTGTATAAATTTATATTTAGGTTATTTTGGCAATTAATCGTCGTTCGATTAGTGGCAATTCCTCTGTAAAGTATATGGATATTAGCAAAGATGATGATATGAAATGGCGACCAACCACACATTTGTTTTTTTGTCCACCTCGCAAAGACGTGACAATGGTGGTCTCTGAAAACGGAATAATAATTGCAATTGGCGGCACAAATATGTATGATGATTATATCAATAGTGTAGACGAACTTGACCTTAAGTTAAAAAAATGGGTTCCTACATCACAACTCATACATCCTCGAAAAAGTTTTGCCGTCTGTACTAATAAGCAATTTATTTATGTCGTGCGTATTTTATCGATTGTATAGTTAGCATAAGAAAAACAACATTTTTTACAAGAAATTTTTTTCTTAAGGTAGGAGGCTATGATCTTGTATCTCAACAATTTTCTAATTCAGTAGAATATTATGATACAAATACAAAATTATGGACGGAAATTATTGAACCCATGCCCACGGCTCGAGACTCGTGCAGTGCTATAATCAATAATAATCAGTTATATGTTGTAAGTGAATTCCATTTTAACATAAAATCCATGTCTACTTATACTTTGTTAGTTGTTGTAAAAATAATGTTGCGTAATGTTGGTTTGTTTAATATTATGCGTTTTTATTGTTTCACATGTAGTTTGGTGGATATGACTTTAGTTATCTTGCGACTGTAGAATACTATGATTTTGAAAACAAGTATTGGAAACAACTCGATCCTATGCCTATCGCCAATTCTAAGATGGCTATTACTAGAATAAATAATTTCATTTATCTCATCGGCGTTGTATTTGGACACACTAGAATTTTTAAATTCGATGTACACCATTTCAAATGGGATGAAATTCCTAACATGCATTCGGGAAAACAGTTTGCCACACACAGTCAGTATATACTCATTCAAGTATATTGTACATTTTTTTTTTACTTGTAAATTTAAATTGCAGATGTGGTTAACAAAAAAAACGACTTAATCGTGTTTATAAATGATGGACAACTTATTTGTGAAAGATATGACGTAGAAAACAAACAATGGTTTCGGGTTGACACGGAATTCAATTTCAAGCCATTACCAGGAAATGGTCATATCATTTATTTTAATGATTATATTTTGAAATCGTATGGTATTCACTTATAAGTTATAATTCATTTATTTATAGATATCATTGTATGACTTTAATTTTGTATTGAAATTATTATTGAAACCATTTAAAAAAAAAAATTATACTTCATTATTTATATGCAACATTAAGGGTTGTGTCCTTATTAAATATTTTGGTTGGCTACATCAGTGAATAATCTCTTACATCAGAAATTTGGTTTGGTTAAAGAGTACAAACAATTTTATAATATTGATCGTTGTATTGTAAATATTCATTTGTGCGGCTCTGTCAAACGATATGAACCCGCTATTGATTATTATGTCTAAATATGTTTATTGGAACTAAATAGGGAGGTTTGATTAAAGAGAGCTTGTTTTGCTCATTTGGATACACCGGTCGGTTTATGTGCTTGTTTAAATTTAAAAATAATCAAATCAATATAAATTTGTGACAAGAGGAAAATAATTTTATTTAATTTAAAATTAACCTGTATAATAATAGTATTATTGTATTATGTGTTTGGCTTCTTTTTGTTTTACCGTTTTACAAGTTGGTCGGTTTACTTGAGTAGTAGTTTTATCAGAAAATATTTTAAAATATGACTTGGTTGTGGCACACATTTTGTCCATGACAGATTGTTGAAATTTGTGCACAATAATCCAAGCCGGTTTCTATCGTTGCGATAAAAATAAAAATATATTTAATTGAGATCAACTTGTGACAGAAACAAGCGGAAAGTTTTTTTTTTACAACAACTAGATAATTATATCTAAAAAAACAATTACTATACTTTTTTATAATTATTGGTTGTTCTCTTTATTGAGACCATAGATTTTTGAGGTGTAAATAAGTAAATAAAAAGGGTTTGCGATAAAAATATTTAAAACTGCAAAATTTTACACTTATTGTATCAACTTGGTTTATCGGCGGTATGAAATCACCTAATATGTGTTTGGAGAGAGAAGAGAACATTTTTTTCATACATATTTCAAGTTAACATAAATTTAAAGATTGTTTTACTCCTGTGATTTTACAATATTCAAAAGAATCTGGGATTATCTTACCCCAATCATTTTCATCTAACTAAAAATACAATTTTATCAATTCTTTCGACTTTACAATTATTCAATTATCAATATTTTTACCAACTCAAATTCACTTCAACTACACTGTGCTGGCTATTTTCTCTTGATATAATTTAACTACAATAACAATTTTACATGTAGTCGAAGAACAAAATAACTTAACCCCAAGCACTCGGGCTTTTGAAAAATCCCATTTGCTGTTGCGCTGCGGTGTTTACACCACTTTCTATCTTGCCGTGGGAAAATTGTTGTTTTTTCTTTCACCTATCGTGATGATAATTTATCAACTAGAGAATACTAAATGTTACACTAGACTGACCTCTCACATTTAAATGCTGTGCGCTGTTTTTAACATTAGTGATGTAAACACTGCTGGCGCAAGCGCTAGAAAGTTAATGTAACAGTAAAAATACAGCAATATAATCTTTATATTCCACACACATTTTTGGAACAAATTCGACTATTTATTTTAAAAAGTTTTAACTTGCTATAGATGTATTATAACTTAATATTATTAGGTTGAAAAATGCGTAAAATGTTTTGTTGATCGATTACCCGAATTTATCTGTGATAATATTCTGACTATTCCTGGTTGTTGAGTTCCTACTAAGTATTTGATTCTTTTGCGAAAAGAGCAAATGCTCTTTCCGAAAGAAACGACTGTATTTTGTCCAAAATGTTTACTTCTACCATTATTAACGGTTCATTAGTTTGAACGTTTTGTTAACAACATATTACTATATGCATATAAGCTCAGAAATTAAAACGCTTGTATAATAATTCTAGCAATATTAAGTATACGCGTAAGAAGATGAAAATCACAATATTTTTATAATAGTTCTACAAGCGGTGTTGAATCATAATGTTTAAAGAAAGCTGAAAGATGAGTTAAAAGTTATAACGTTTCGGTTTAATTGATAAGACGGGTCGCGCCGGGTGATTGGCAGTTGTCCGAAAAATGATAAGATACACAACACAGATATAATAAACTAGATTGATAAGAATTAAAATCGACGTCCGCCATTTTTGTGGGATTTATGTGTGTGTATAAAATAAAATATATATAAATCTGTGATTCTGATCTGTCAACTTTATTTGTAATTATTGTTATAAGCAATGATGTCAGTTATAAAAATATGTTAAAGTTCCAATTCCCACAAAGATGGCAGAAAATGATAAGTTCAATTATCTTTATTGGCAATCGCTTAGCAATCTAGTTTATTATTATTTATATATCCGGGTTGGTTACCGAGTACAATATTATATTAGTGTCATACAATAATATTACAGAAAGGTCACTTTCAATTTGAACAAAAAAGTGACGACCATTTTGTAAAGATCTATTAGGTATTATGTATTATAATTATTAAAACAAAACAAAAATAATACAACTTTATTGTTGATATAATAATATAGTATAATTTATATTAAATAGTACTTTTTTTAGGATTAAAGTGCATACAAATAATAATTTTAATAAACCATGAGTGTAAAATGTATGACAACCTTAATAAATATATTATGAAGTTTCACCCTTTGGATTTTTTAATTCGTTCAGAAATTCTATTCGTTCTGCTGGAACCATTAGGAATTTCATCAATTTGCCAAATTTTGTCCTATATATCAAGGTAGCTGGATCTGTTAATGTGATACTAGATTAATATGGATGAAACACTTAAATGGTTACAATAATAATATGTAACCTCAGAGGTAGAGGTCCCTATTACACGTGTATTCGATTACAATGTTAATGGTTTAATAGCAATCAAATAGTGTTACCTTCTGGACGACGCAAATCACGATTTTCAATTAACCAGTTTCTCATAAGCTCGTGGTATTCTACAGGTAAAATAGCTTTCATTTTTGTTTCATTAGTGAAACCTATGCCCTCAAAGATTCCTTGGTCGTCTATAACCAGTATTTCCGCAAAAGACCATAAATCTTCTATCACCTAAATTATAATTTTGGATTTCACACAATAATTTCACAACTTATCTATGGGGCGCTCAGAAGCCAAACTGATTAACTCCATAAAATGCAATTTCTCAGGACAGGCAGTTTAAGTTATTTGAACAATGTATGCAAGTACAATTGCCAATTTTCTTGGCGCACTCTAGTGGTGAAAAATTCAACTTTGTAGTTATTTAACTTGGCCACTGAAAATTGTACACTTTTTTTTTAATCCAACCGTGCTATTTATTCGCAATTTGAAAAAAAAAGTGGAGTTAATCGGTTTGGCATCTGAGCGCCTCATATATTTTAAACACATTCAGGTTAAGTAATTGTTATGTAAGATCCGATATAATTTTGTATATTTTGGCACCTGGCATCATACTTTGATTAATTTTAACTTCTATATTTTTTTAAATAACACGAAACTTTGTAGAATGAAGACAATTTTTTGTTAAATGTTTGTCAAGATTGTGGTCAATTTGCCATTATTGCATGTATATAAATGTATACATAGTATTGCCAGTCTTAAAATACTAACAACAATTTGTAACTACTATTAGAGGAAGTCTGTGTGTCTAAGTGAAATTGATTAATTCGTATACACCATGTTACAGCTTTTGTGAGGTATTATGAAATCTAATAATAAAACACAGCAGAATTCAATATTGTTAGAAATGTTTTATTTAAAAATGAATACGAAAAAAATTGTAATGCAAAGTTGCAACAACAAAGTTGTTTCAATAATTTCTATACACATTTTTTTATTCAAACAATTATGTTAAAAAGTTTTTTTTTATACGAAGATTTTTAAAAATATACTCTAAAAACAAATAATTGAAAGAAATTAGTAATTATGTTGTTCAAAAGAGTATAAACAGTTATTAGAGTAAAAACAATTATAGAAAAAAAGGCACCCTTTATTAGGCTGACTTCTCTAGCTGTTGTATGGTAAAAAAAATTACAAAAAAAAGGTGGTAAAGTAAATCTGTCCCCAAAAAAAATATATATATTAACCGTTTCTCTTTGAGATTGTTAAAAAAAAATTAACTACAGTTACCTGTTCTGTCGCATCGTCGGTAGGGTCCAGTCTATTTTGAATTTCAACTTGTCTTAGCATCTCCTTTTGTCTAACAGTTTCTCTGCTATGGCTTTGCATAGATTTTGCTGGTTGACAACTCACAATCATTACAATCCATAATATTATAGCACATTTAACATTCATTTTTTACCCTCTAGTTGGAAACTTTTAAATATGACTTTATCTAAATAACAGAAGAACGATATTTTTTATGCTGTGTAATGGCCAATTTTATAGCGCGTTTCTGTAGAATATCATTACAATAATAATTAATCAAACTGTGGCATGCCCATGCAATTTATTTCATTGTGTAAACATTAATGTGAAACTGTTAAAATATTAAAAAATGTGTATTATTCACAAACGCGTGTATTGAAATGTTCGACAATAAGTTAAAACTGTACTTTATTAAAACACATACCATAGTGACAGGTTAAGTCCTACAAGTTTAATATTCTTTTTTTTTTCTACTATATTTTTTATTTACTGACACCGCATGTTAAGTGGGTATGGCTAACGCGACGAACAAAATGCAACCGCCGCCAATGTAAATTATTTTTAATGTTGGGAACGTTAATGCTATGCATAGGTATAATGACTAGCTGATCATGATTTATCGCCTCACTGTTCCAACCGTAGTTCGAAAAAATTCAACTACCCGTTTTATGCTTTGAAATCGAATTTATTGTACTGTGTTGATAATTAATATTTTACAAACAATCGAAACAATTTACAATCAATTTTGCTTTTTTAACAATTTTACATAGTATATGAACATAGGATAGTCGATGGCAATAGTATACTGCACCATAATACCAAATTGAAATAACCATAATATATTCTGAATAAGCTAATAGTCGTTCAATATATAACGCATTGAATTATTAATTGCTGTCATAAAGTCTAATACATTCGTATTATTTTGTGCGCAAACTGTTCTCACGATGTCATCGAATAGAGCTGGATGTACATTGTCTAGAAAAAAAAAAGAATAACATATATACATTTAAGTATAAATAACCGGCAGTTGCGCCGTGCACAGAAAAAAAAAAGACCAAATCTATACAAAAATACTATTTATTATACTTTGGCTAAAAGCGTTGTACTAAAATCATCTGTCTTGGCGGTTCACGTTACTTTTAATAACACCTTCTCGCTATTTTTTAAACATGGAACTAAAATTTGATATAAAAAATATAAAAATGAACTTTTTCAACTCGAATGACAAAGAAAAATATCACATTGAGTATTTTATTTAAAAACTACAACACATTCGTGAGTGGTTTTCACTATAACTATACAACAATAAAAAAAAAGGAATATATCCAAAATTTTACAAGAGTGAATTTTTTAATAGGATTTTTTTTTTTAGACCAAAATTCTAAAAGTTTTTACTATGGCAAATACTTATAATGATTTAGGGGAAAAGTATAGGTTTCACTTTTAATGCGAATGAGAATAGGTACCCCCCCCCCCAAGTCTAACTACCTCACTGCTTCGCATAAACTGTAAAGAAAACAATAATTGTTACATGATAAATGTAGTATATTTAATGGTTACTTTGGTATTGTGTTCCAACTCTTTTGATTCTGAAATACTCGAGTATTTTATCTTTATTAGTGGTATTCAAAACAAATAATAAATGATCAAATGTAAGGTTACTTTCAGAAGGAAGGTTGAAATATTTTCTAGCTAGCTCGAACGCTTTTTGTATTGCCTGAAAAGATTTGAAGCATGTCATTTAAAAAATTAAAGATTTTGTGAAAAAAACTGAAACTTAAGGCTCTTAATCTTCTGAGGTAATATATCTTAGTTGAATCACCCTGAATTATTCATATGAAGAAAATACAGAACATAACAGAAAGTTATTTTAATAATTTCCTATATGAATAATATTGCTGTGTTACAATATTATTTAATATCATTCATTTCAAAAATTAATCTGGATTTCAACATTTGAAATTAGGATTATAGAAAAATCTGAAAAAAGAAACTGATACACAAAAAAACGTCAAATTTGTAATTCCGCATTACCCAATCAGTACTCTAAGTACTGTTATTCAATTAATAATATATTCTTATAGTCAGGCCAATAGGTTTTAAATAATAACTAGCTGACCTTGGCTGTCCTCCTTTTAACATTAAGTGTCGTTGGCTTGCAGGCAAATATCTCTTAAAATCCCTATCTCGGTCTAATCTTTCAATTTTTGATTCTTTCTATTCTTTGTTTTTAACAATATGGCGTTACGTTCCAAAATCTCTTCCCGTTCTTTCTTTGACTGCAAACTCCATTTCTTCTTTCCAGCAATACATTTTAAATTTCAATAAACATTCTCTCTATGATCCATATGATTCTCTTTTCTGTGTTCCCCTTATTCAAATTCATAATTTCTTGCTATATTCCTCCCTAGCGGACCTTTTAAATCCACCCCTCGTAATGTAGTAACTTCTCTTTTCTCTGATTTTCTTGATTCAAACTTGTCAGACTTCATTGCCATCTACAAGTACATGGGTTCGCCAACAATGACACAACATACTGCCCAGTTTTAGATAAAAAAAAACTTTATAAAATTATCTTATTTAAGAAAAAATATTTATAACTATTATATTAATTAAAATAAAATTTAAAAGTATAAAATTTAGATTGTCTATTTAGACAAATGTATAATTACCAAACTTTCTTGTCTCATTCTTGTCCGTTTTTCTACCATGCCAAAAGCACCCTGAATAACTATGTAATTAATTACGAAACATAAAAAACGAATAAGTATTTTACAATAATTTTTTTCTTCTTTAAGATTTGGAAATTGTTATTTAAATTGGAATCTTGTATGAATGGTGGATAGTTTTACAGTGAATTTTCGAAGAACAACATGCTCATTATAGTAATGATTTTTTATCATAACATGTTATTGACATCATTCATTGATATTTTTGTTATTTAAAAATGTTTGGGAATAAAATACCTTAGTTTGTTAACCAAATTGTCTGTTTATGGAAAATATGTTTTACAATTATGTGTTTTATTTAGTTTTTTCGACGGATGAAAATACTAAACTCAAATAATTTGACCGATTTTATAATAATTTAGTTATGCTTGGGTAGTATTCTAGTTAATAATAGTATTTTAATTAATTTTGGTGCTCTACTTTCCAGTCCTTGCTTTTCTTGTTTTCCTTCGATTTTGCCCACCAATAAACTAGTGTATGTTATTATATTCCGTCCAGTTCCAACGCAAATAAATCTTACAAGGCGTCGAAATAAAAGTTCATCTATATTGTCTACAGAAATAATTTATAAATAAATTGTTAAAATACAAACAGCTGTTGCACGCTATACAGTAGCCCAGGAAAATAGTTAGTTACCTGTTAATTGATAGTTTAGCCAGTCCATTGGATAAATCGTGAAGTACTTATCTACTAAGTGTACATGAGAATCGGAAGGATCCACAAACGCAAAAAACCGATCCAAGGTAACATTACTAATTGGCTGATCTGGTTGAGTTTCAAGAAGATTTGTCAGGTATGCATAAACGCCACTTAGATGCTGAAATTTGGGTTTACTATTAGTGTTACACAGGAGATTATTCATTAAGGAAAGTACACTAATTTTCACTTAGAACGATTGCAAGTTTTTAATTTTGTAGACACTTTAGTTAACAATATTAGACAATATTCAAATTTTCATATTTTTTTCCAGATCTCTATCAAATATTAATAGTAAAATGCCAAAGTATATAACGTTTATTAGGTTTAAAATAATTTGCTGAATATTTAGGTTGGTCGATTACTATTTTCGGATAATTCATTTTAAAGTTATTGTTATGTTTGGTAATTTTATGGTATTTTAAAATATCATAAACAAAAATATTTTCAAAAAGAAAAACTAAAAAACTGCAATAATTATTTTAAGAACAAAAAAAATGGGCGTCTTATCCCTAATTAATTACCCTGTATACCGTTTTATAAAACTGGTTGTAGAACTTATAGGCGCATTGACTAGATAATAATCATATGTAATAAATACAAAATAAATAATTATCATCACGTGATACAAGTTCAGAGAACAAAATTACTCAAATAAATGTTTATTTAAATAAATACACCAAAAAAAAAAAAATCAACTGTAATTTTATTATTAATCGTTATTTAATTGTTTATTTATGATCAATTTTTCATTCGAGACTAAAAAATTAACTGTTTACCAATAAGTATTTGTTTAGGAATAAAATTAGTATTTTATTATTAATAAATAATATGATTATGATTAATTTTATTTAAAAAAAAGTTTTCTTTTTTTTTAAATAACGTACTTGGCTAATAGCTAAAGTACTACCATTGTACCGTCCATAATATTTAAGACAAAAAAAAAAAAAAATACGTGGTAAAACTTGGACCGTTATATTAAAATAAAACATAAATTATTATTGCTGAGAAAATATAAAACAATATTACCTCGTTCTCGGTAGACTCTGGGACCAAATCAGGCGGTGCGCCAAGGACATGGTTAGCAATAAAAAAATAATTTACTAACGATATAATGAACTTGAAGTGCATTTTATTATTATATCTGCTTTAGTCTAAAGTTTAACTCAGAAAAATTTGTCTTCAGATGCTTGCCAATCACACACGTGAAGCAAACAGAGAATTAATCATTTTTTACAAACAAGTGTTTTGATATTGAATCACCTGTAAAATAGCGTTATTCAAAATGTTTTGTCTTCAAATAAAATTGTATATTACAGCAAAATAAAAATTACCAAAAAATAAATAATTTGTTCGTCAAGTGCTCTATTAAGTTATATAACTTAAAATAACTTTAAATTGTTTCATTAAAACGTTTTTTGATTAATGAAATAAAATAGTTCGTTATGTATAATAACGTAAGACAACTCTTCTAAGGTTTCTTAATTTTTAAGAGGGAAGTGGTGATTTGTTAAACTTCTTAACATTCCTAAGAAGGTACCTTCCGGAAACGAGTTTATTTCAATTGATTTGCTAATAAAATGCCCAATAATTATGTTATGTAAATTGGGATCTGGCAAAAAATAAACGATGCAGTAGTGATCGTTTTTAACTATTTTATTATAATGGAAAATTTTATACTTATAAAAAAGGGTTCATAATTTAATGTATCCACTTTATTCTTTCCGAATTTACTGTGATTGTATTCTGTTTGGTATTGTCATCACATAATTATGAGAATTTACGCAAATTGAGAATTTTATTAAAATTTTTTATTTCAAATGGTTTGCGCTTTTGCCTAAACTGGACCGACCCCACATTGGTGCCACTTTTATTCCATTATTTTGTATTACTTACTTATTTGAAATTATTGTCTTTATAGAATTTTAAGTGTATAAAACCATTGCGCTCAAATTTTGTAAAAATTTTTTTGGGCTTTTGTGTGAGCATTTAATAATGTAGCTTGATATGCTATTAAAAAATAGAATTGTATAATAAATTATAAGTTGACAATATTCTCGAATCATATATACTATTTTGGGATTTATGCACATGTTTTAACTTTTTTTTATTATTATTTGCTGGGTATATTGTTTGAGTGTTCATTAAACAAAAAATAAACACTTGTACCAAATACAGAAAATAATTTTGTGTAGGTGCATTGGATGTAATTTGTACACGGTGTTCTATCATAATTTTTTTACATTATGTTTTAAACATTTGTGATTACATATAAATAATATAGGTATTACTTTACGCTTGGCAACTAAATGGGTGTTGAAAAAAGTTTTTAAACCAAAAGGAAATAAATATAATATAATACAGAACTCGGGTTTGGTATTTTTAAGGTTTACCACATTTGATAAATTTCATTAAGCTCTTAAAGTTTATCAAAATATAAAACGTTATTTAGCTAAAACAAACAAATTCTTTGGCTTTCTGTCACCTTGTTTTTATGATCACATGGGCTCTGGTGTTCAGTGCCTCTAAGTTTATCTTCTCGGCTTCCAATTTTTACATTTAATTCGTTTTTTAAATTAAGAATAATTTGCTGATATGTTTGACTGGTCGATAGAGTTTAAAATATAGGAAGGGAGATTGAGTGCGGTTGAATAATTTCAATTAGAGTATTTTTAGATGATATTTTCAATAGGTACCCACAAGGTACCTATTTGTACAAGTTTATTTGAAAATAAACATTTATGAAAAGATAATTTATAACTTACAACAAATTGTAGGTAATGTAATATTTAGAAAATATTGATGTACAAAATTTAATTTGTTTTATACGATTGATTATATTTTTAAGCAAATAAATTAAAATTCCCATACGAACTTTGTTTCACTGTCTTCTATCCACGATAACTATATTTCTATATTACAATTATTTGAAATATTGCACAATACTTTGTTTAAGTATTATTTTTTTTTTTTTTAAAAGCACTAAGATCTGACATGTTTCTTTCAAGTAGAGTCAAATATAATGTTACATTTCATAAAATTTGTTGAAAATATGTTTTCGGATACCTGTTGACTTTTGACTGACATAAAAAAATGATTACGTTCAAAGTGTGCTTTTTTGGGGGGGTTTCTATAATAAAAAAAATGTTTCACTACATATTTTTGAGAAAATTGTATACTTTATCGACCGTTCTAGATCCACGTTCAGTCTAATTTTCAGACCTTAAATACTATACTTAATTTATGGTTACCTGAGGAGCAAAATCTAAAATGGGCATGCTAGGGAAATATTCCAACGAATCAAAACAACATTTTTCAATTATTAGTTTTCTTTGTATTTGAAAATAATATATAAATCCGTATACACTTTATATTTATTGAAAACAGAAAAAAAAAACGCTAAGTTTTAAACAGGATTATCAACTAATTATTTCACAAGCACTCTGTTTTTAATAGGACTGAAATCACGTTTGACAATATTCAGAAAATATTTAGGTTTATTGTTGTATTGAAATAACACAAAAGAATAAGATTAGAATAAGTTTGCCATTAAAAATGTATAATGTAATTTACAAAACAAGTATTTTTAATAAAATATAACGTTTCTATTGTATATACTATATAATGTATCATATTATTCAATCAATCTGTCAACGTATCAGCATGCGTTGTGGTACTGCTTGAAGCCGAGTCGTTTGGGAACCCTAAGCTTGGATAATCTCTTTGTATGAAATCTTCTACACTCTTTGTAAATAATTCCGAAATATCAAGCGTTGACATTTCCAATAATTTAGGTAAACAAACAACTTCGCTGTTACTAATTGGCAACGAGCAGTATTTGGTAAAAAATACGACCATATTTGCACGGACTTGTGTCAAGTTTTCAATTTTTATTTCCCCTGGATTTGTAATAAAGTCGTTGGAAAACCGATTTAGTAATTCGGATAGGGCCTCATTGATCTCTCGTTTACCTAACCAACCAAAAAATAAAAGCACATGTTTCGTACGCTGTACGACTAAATTTAATTTTTCGATCGTTTTTAGGAATAAGTCGTTGCGCGAACGCTGTCGTTGTAATATGATTTGGTAACCAAATAACTTAAGAAATAAAACAGCAGTTAAACAACTGATTAGTTTGTTCCATTTTAGTTGTTACATTATCTTCGTTTACTATCATACCGTCAGGGCAAGTCTGAAGCAATTCGTTCACCTTGTAACCTTGAATTCCGTTTTTTGATTTCACTTTAATTTCCAAGTCACCAAAATTTTGCCATCCGGGATTTGCTAAAATCGCGTTCAGCACGTTCGCCATATTGTGAAATTCGTTTGCGTTCATAAACATCTTACACGAGAAAAACACTATGAAAGTATATAAAGTGGAATAAGCGACCATTTTGAGTACAAATACAACACAGTTTCTGGCAAATGAAAAATTTAGCCGTACAGCCAAATCGAAAGGTTCAGCTGAAATTCAAGACACTGAACTATTTTCCTATCAAAAGTGATTTATTTATTTAAGGTTGTTGGTTTCTACATATTGACGTATGCCTACAATAAATGTTTTTTTTTGTACTAAAACACATGCCTATAGTCGTTACAAGGTGTCCCACGAATATTCCATATTAATTTTAAATGCCACCTTAAAAACCATACGACGCCTTGTAGAAATGTGGAGGAGTGAACGACAACATTAACAGGGGTCAACATTGGACGGTACTTAAACATTTTGTCATCCCTTCAAAACTTGTGAGATTAATCAAAAACTGCAATAATAATACAATGTGTCAATTGCGTTATCTGGATGAAACAACCAAATGCTTTGAAGTAAAAACAGGGCTAAGACAAAGGGACGCATTGCATCCAGTACGATTTAGTTTGGTATTGAAGTACCAAGTGGTAAGAGAAATTAAAAAAAAAAAACAGTCCATGGAACGATATCGTTATCCTGGGAGAATCTCAGGACTAGATAATATCAAGTACACTTAAGTTAATAGAAGCTAGCCAAATAACAGGACTGAAAATGTATGAAAAAAAAAACAACTACCTTTACAGATATCATACTTCTTGCACGTGTCAATAAGTAAACCTTCTTTTATCAAATGTTTAAAGTGTTTTCTGTAAATAAATACTATTTGTTACATATATTATTTGCGGTCTGAACGATGAGAGCACATTATAAAAAATACAAGTAATTTAAAACATTCTGAACACTGAAGAGTATAAATAAAATAGAGGGAGGAATATTATAGCTTTATTAAATCAAATAATGTCTAGATCAATATAATACACTCATTTTATTTAATCCCGTTAGCAAAAATAAATACAATTTTTAGCCAAGCGCAGTATGCTAAAACATGTATAAGTCAACTAAAATATTATTTTTTTTTAAATAATTATATATAGTTTTTTGAGCCGGTAAAATAAAATTCTCCTGGGACGATTTTCAGTCAAAATCTGAAGTAGCTAAAATATCAGAGATTGTTTTAACTTTTTCGAAAATGAATAAAAGTCCTGGCGGCTGAAGCCTATAGTCTTTGGGCAGCGTTTCATTTTCAGAAGGGACCACAATTACTGCTGGTGTTTCTGGAAGTCGTCTACATTTATATTTGTCTAAATGACTTGTGAAACGTCCAAGTACTGATTGTTCTACCTCGTAAGGCCAGTTACGATGTTCACTCTTCACAAGAAGACCTTCCAAAATATGATCTGGACAATTAGTTTTAACCAATGCTTCCTTTATTTCATTCTTTGAAAATAATAACGGTTAAATATGTTTTTGAATAATGTATTTTATACAAAAATTACTTTTTGATATTCCGAAGGTTTACTTAGCACTTTATCCCAATCTATATCGGTCGCTCGTTCAAAGTCATGTGACCATTCTTCAATTGTTTTATATTTTTCCGGTTTATTGGTCTAAAAAAAAAAAAAGACACGGTAATGAATTGGAAGAACAAATACTGAGTACACGCGAATGGATAAAACATATATTATGGTCTTACGAGGACTCTACCCACTCTAAAGTGAGATTTTTTGAAAAAAAATTCTTAAAAACTTGGGGAATGGCGTCCGTTGAGAACACTACTAACGTGATAAGTAGGTACTTATTTATAACTGCAAATGTTTACATGCAAATGTCTATACTAAACGTATAATTTTACAATTAAACAACTAGTGAAGTTAAGTATGTATTAATAAATAAAATAATATGTGTAGGAAAATCTTTAAAATGTGTTTCAGTGTTAATTTAGTACCTACAAATTTTTATTATGTACTCAAAAAAAAAAAAAATACAATTACATTTTTTCTCAAACGGCTATACTTGTTCATCTGTAATAAAAAATAAGCCAGTACAGTATTATAAATTAAACGTTTGAATACGATTTTTTGAGAAAATTGCATAATATATTATAGCCCTATTCTGAAATTTCCTTCAGCCTATTTTTCAGATCTTGAGCCCTGAAACTTTATCTAGAAGAGCGAAATAAAGTAAAAGATTCCATCGCTCCTAGGAGAAAGAGATTATGTGTGAAATGGTTTAGTAGAAACAATAACATCTCAGCTATGCATCGAATCTACACTTATTTTTGCTTACATATAAAGTACCCTTTATTAATTATTATAATAAGTATTTTTAACATTTTTCTTAAAAACTTAAAAAAAAAAAAAATAGTTTCTACTCTTTTTTATAAAGTTAATAATAACGAAAGAAAAAAAAATCGATTAACAATTTCTTACCTTGTTATTCATGTCTTCAATAGAATTAGACGTTTCCGGTTCATCGGTCTAAAAACAATGACACCATATTATGATATTTGCTATTAAACATTTAGTAAAATTAAGTATGTATTAATTTTATAATAATATATACGTAAGCAAATTTCGAAAACTTGCTTCAGCAATGTGTTATGTAATTAAAAAACAAGATATAATTACATTCATTCCCAAACGGCTATACTTTTTCATCTGTAACAAATAAAGAAGCTAGTACAGTGAGGTTGGTGCATAGTGGTTTGTCAACGTTGTCGGTAGTACTATGTCCAAAGAATATCCCATACAAATGTTTAAGTAATTTATAGAGCGCGGTAATATTAAGAGTAAAAAATGAGGGTAATTTTTTTGGGCGTTTTCTTGATTTTGAAAGATAAGTGGCGAACTACTAAAATTTTTGGCCCAATAAAGTACAATTTCTGTGTATTAATGTTAAATATTTTGTTTGCCGAACGTTCTGGTGTTTACTCATACTTAAAAACGACCTAACGTTAATAACAATAATACTTTGTAAAAAGTATGCATGTTAACGTTGAACAAATTATACTTACCCCGTTTCCGGCACAATTCTCTGTTGGCATATTATAAATTAAACACAGTAAACTGATATACTTGATACACATATTTTTGTGTTTCTATGTTAATAAAGGTTACTAATTTAAAGACTTTTAACTTTACGAAATTCAACACATAAATGACTCACGTGTGCAATAAAAGCCAGTTTTAAAGTAAATCGTCTCAGAACATTATTTATTTAATTATTTAATTTACATTAGTTGACTGAACAAACACAGACAACTATGAAAAATACCGTAATTACTATTGAACATGATATATTGCGCTATTAGTTTTATTGCAAACTTTTAAAATGACAATTTTTTCAACGTTTACAATATGTATTGTACAAAAACCTTAATTTTTAAAATTTTAAATAAGAATCATGGGACCCCTCCTCCCCTTTATGGTTAGGATTAAAGTTGGACAACATCCGTTTTAGACACTCCTTGAATCTTGTATTTTAATTATACGGTTGTTTGTCCAGCAAAAAATCAAACATATTTTTAGTATAACCTTATTTGTTTAATATATTTCTATTTATCGCAGATATCAGAGATCCTGGATTAAGCAATATAGCAGTATAGCTTAGAAGAAACATGTATCTATTTTTTACTTTGTTCTATGCAAAATATTAGTATTATACATTATATATAATAAAATATTAATAAGTATTATTGATATAAATGTGCTTAAAATACTGGTGTGTTCGTTTTTATATTTTACTGAAAGCTGATATTACAACCCATAAGCCAAATCATTACTTTTATAATAATTTTAAAATCTTTTTTTTTTTTTTTTTTTTTTATAAAAGAGTATTTACAATCTATGCTGCAAGGCATAATAAGCAAATAGTTACATTGTTATATATACAGAGAGAGGGAAAAAAAAATAAACAAATAGAAACGGTGATTTGATATGAGGAGGGAGGCTATCCAGTAATAGAACCTAACGTGATTTTTGTTCTAATTATTTTTAATTAGATTAATTTGAATTATTGTATTAACAGATCTCGACACCAATGTCTTCGGAGTCGGCGAGGTGGATTTCCGGGGAGTGAATTAGAAGCAAGTTGAGATATTAAAGGGTTAGAATGAGTGTGTAATTTGGAATGAAATTTTTTGTAGTGTTTTATGGCTAAGTGGTTTATTGGTTCTATTTTAAAGTCATTTTGAAGTGTGCAGTTTGATACATACCATGGGGCAGAAGAGATAATACGTAGAGTGATAGATTGGAAAGCTTGTAAGGTACGAAGTTGGGATGGTTTTGCACATCCCCAAATTTGGATTGCATATGTCCAAATAGGCCTTAATAGGGATTTGTTTGTATATAATAATTTTATTGTGGAAAGGTAATTTTGATTTGAGGATTGGACGTAGTAAATGGAGTCTGCTGTTGAGAATTTTTCTTTTAGATTTAATGTGGGAGCCCCAAGTTAATCGTTTGTCGAGTGTGACACCAAGATATTTGACTTCCGAGGATATTGGAATAAGTATTCCTTGGAATTGGGGAGGGGGTGGAACAGATTTTTTTAGTGTGAAGGGAACGTACACAGATTTATCTGGATTAATTTTAATTCTCCAATTAGATGACCAGGAATCAATTAGATTTAAGTGAGTTTGAAGGAAATTGGAAGTAACTTCTGGATCATTTCCTGGGGAGAGTATTGCAGTGTCGTCTGCATAAGTAGCCATAATAGTGTTTGGTGTTTTTGGAATGTCAGCCGTAAAAACATTAAATAGATCAGGGGAGAGGTCACTGCCCTGGGGCACTCCTGCTTTAATTTGGTGGTATGGTGAAAAGGAATTACCATATCTGACTCTATAACTTCTATTTTCTAAGTAAGAACGAATTATTAAGTAATATGGGGCAGGTAGAAACAATTTGAGTTTGAAGAGTAGGCCTTCATGCCATACACGGTCAAAGGCCTGGGCCACATCCAAAAATACCCCTGGACAATATTGTTTTTTTTCAAAAGAAGAACAAATTTGATCTGTTAGTCTGTGAATTTGGTGAACAGTCGAGTGATTGGATCTAAAGCCAAATTGGGAATTAGGAATTATGTTGTGGGCATGTAATATTGGTCTTATCCTTATGAGTATAATTTTCTCAAACAATTTGGCGAGAGTTGGGAGTAAGCTGATAGGTCTATAGGAAGTAATCTCATTTTTTGATTTGTTGGGTTTGGGGATAACAATTATTGTGGATATTTTCCATATTAATGGAAAATAAGAAATTCGCAGCATGGAATTAAAAATATAAGTTATTAGAACAATTGTTTTTTTTGGCAAATTTTTGAGGATTTTGTTAGTTATGAGGTCATGTCCTGGTGATTTCCCTTCTTTTAATTTATTTATTAAAAATTTGATTTCACTTGGTGAGGTATGTTTTGCAGGTAATGACATTGGAAGAGGACTATTGACAAAAATATTAACCTTTTCTAAGTGTTCGTGGTTGGGAAATACGTCAGTATGTGGTTTGAAAATGTTGGAAAAATGCTCTCCGAAAAGGTTGGCTTTTTCTTTGTCAGAGATGGCCAAGGATCCATTTGGGCTAGTTATAGGTGGAAGTTGTTGTTTTATGTTAAGTAAGCTTTTGGTAGTTTTCCAAAGTGAGCCATCTTTTGAGTTTAAGGACTGGTATTTTCTTTCGAAGTACTCAGTTTTGTGTTTTATTATTAATTTTTTAATAGTGTTCGTTAAGTGATTAAATATTTGTTTGTCGGAAGGATATCGATATTTCTGCCATCTGGAGCGTGCACGTCTTTTATCGGAAATCAACGTTTTAATATATAAAGGCAAAGTATGATTATTTGATTGATGTTTACTGGTTGGATATGACGCATTGTGGACGGCAGATTGTACAGAAGTTACGAGGTCTTGGGCAGCGTTTTCTATATCAATTTTTGATTTAAGGGAGATATTTAGATTAGTAGTGTTTTGCATAATTTCAGAGAATTCTTTCCAATTTACTGGGCCTTGTGATAAAGAAGGATGTATAAGATTAAGTTCTGGACTTTCATTTAATTTTAGAAGGACAGGAGTGTGGTCTGAGCTAAGGTCATTTAGGTTATTAATAGAGAATTTCATAGTTCTAGGTAGTGTTGAAAGAAAGAAATCTAATATATCAGGGTGTCTATTTTCGTGTTGGGGCCAGTAGGTAGGACCATTTGGCGATATGGATGTGTAATTGTTATTGTTAATGATTTTTTGGAGTATTTTTCCTCTTGAGTTGTCGGATATGCAACCCCATTGGGAGTGTTTGGCATTAAAATCGCCCCCAGCCAAGAAGTTTGGCCCTAGGGATTTTAAAAAATCTTTTAGTTGTGTCGAAGTGATAGCAGGATGAGGGGGAAGGTAAACTGAAGATATTTTGATCGGTGTGTGATTTAATGTTATTTGGATATTAGTTGCCTGTATAGTAGGGGTTTGGTTAATAGGGAGTAACTGATGCTGGATTTTAGAGGAAATAATAATAGCAGATCCTGCATGAGCAGTATTGTCGGGGTGATCAGCTCTATAAACCTTAAAACCAGGGAAAAATAGTTTAGAGTTTGGTTTACAGTGGGTTTCAGAAATAAGTGCCAGATCGATTTGTTTTTCTGATAGTAAATTTAGCAGTTCAGAATCATGTTGTTTTAAACCGTTAGCATTCCAAAGCAATATCTTTAGTACGTTTATATTTGGTTGATTACTGACCATCTTTCATAAGTTTATTTATAACTGTTGTGAGTAGTGATATGAGAGGGTTAATTATTAATTTAAATTCAGAAATGAAGGAGGAAAGTTGAGTAGCTATATTAAACTCAGGTGGATTAATAGTTGTGTTTGGGGGTGTATTATTTGGAGCGTTGGAATGGAGATGTTGGTGGGTTAGGTTTGGAAAAGATGAGGTATTTTTAATATCAGGAGGATCCTGACGAGTTCTATAACCGGAGTCGTCCCCCCCTTTAACAATATTACTGTAATTTACATCTTTTATTGAATTATATTTTTTATTTGGAATTTTTTTACTATAGTGTAGTTTTTGAAGATCCTTGTGGATTTGGCATCCACGGTAATTTGCGGTATGATTTCCTCCACAGAGAACACAAACTGGTGGCTGATCTTTGGTTTTCGTACAGGAAGAAGTTGGGTGGTAAGCGGCACAACGAACACATCTTGGAGGGTGTGCGCAGTATGATTTAGAATGACCATATTCTTGACAATTTGTACATTGTATAACAGTGCGTCTTTTATATGGTTCTTCGATCCTTATTTTGGTATTTAGTAAGGAGTTAATATGAAAGACGTCCTTGTTGATTTCAGCGGGTTCCAAATCAATGAAAAATATTGGGAGTTTATTTTTTGTAGTTTTGTTTAAAACATTGGAGACATTTCGGACTGTATATCCTCCAATTTCTTCAAGCGCTGAGCCTATTTCGGATGTTGGAGTGGAAGGGTGGAGATTACGAATGACTATTCGGAAGGGTTTGTCTTCTTGAGCTTGGTAGGTATGAAACTCAGCCTTATTTTCTTTTAGATATTTGATGACTGATCTATATGAGTCGGAGTTGGTAGTTTGGACTTTTAAGTTCTTGGTAGTTGCTTTAACAACAAAGTTATTGGCGCCGATTATATCGATTAAACATGTTCGAAGTGTGTGAAAATCTAATACTCCACGGATGAAAATAGGTGGAGGAGGTTTGATTTTTGTTTGTTCAATTTCCTCATTTGGGTCGTTGCCCGTCTGATCTATTTCGATATTTTCGTCTTCAGCATTATCGATGTCAAGTGGAGCAAATCTATTAGAGGAAGCAAAAACAGTTATGTGTTTTTTATTTTTCTCTGCTAATGATTTAGTTGATATCGGTTTAGATTTGTATTTAACCGTTTGAAATTCAGAGTCGTTTTTTGTTGATTTATTTTGATTTTTTTTATGTTTATTATTATTGGGTGATAGGCCCGGAGAGCCGAGTCGCTTAGTGCTATTAGGAGTAATAAGTCCATCAGTATGATCGGATAGATCTGAAGAAAGCGAAAGTCGATTTGGCACGCTCTGTATACGTGACGCTTTTATTGTTAACGGAGGTACTGTTTTGTTATTTTCGTTCATGGCGACAGGTAAATTTATCGCGCGATAGCAATAACTGGTTTATGCGGACCGTCCGAGCGCGGCCGCGATGGCAGTATTAGCAATTAATAATATATTAATTAAATAAATTACCAAAAAGACAATGATGAGGCTCAGAGGTGATGTAGAAATGAGATGTTCAACTCGTTGGAAAGCAGGCACTTTTTCAAAAAGATTACTTTTTAATACGAGAAAAACTGTGAAAAATGTAACGAGATATTTGATAATAACTAGATGAAATAACGGAGCACGATATTGCATGGTCAACGATCAGGTTCGGAGTTGAATTTTAAAATCTATCGGCTACTTATATCCACTTCCTTTTTTTAAAAAGTACCTTAGCACATTGCATTTTGGTAAAACTAGGTAAACGAAATGGTGGCATTATGGCCAAAATACGACGAATGGATATTTATATAATAATGTAGGGGTTAAAGCCATAGTTGTGTAAGTCACATTAACCTTAATTAAAGAAAACAAGGTTTAATAAAAATATCTTATATTGTGCTGTCATCTAGCGGTGAAGATTATGAGTTACGACTTACTTTAATGTACTACTATTATTCGTAATTCGCCTTTTGAGGTTTCTCAAACTGCTACAAACATTTTGTAGCCTGCAGCTGAGAATTGGATTATTTTAACAGTGTGGACGCCCATTCTAGCTCCCCGGGCGATATGTTAAATTAATAAGGGAGACTTTAAGGCTACTTAGACGTAGAAGCGGCCCATCCAACCGTTTTCCTATGGGAATCCGTCTATTTTATCCTCATCGATGGCCACTTTGTCTAGCTAGCCGAGTGGTCCGTTACAATTCTAAATACTGAAGAGTATAAAATAGGGAAATAAAATGAAATAAAGAAACGAAATTTATAGCTTTATTAAATCAACATCTAGATCAATATAATACATTCATTTTATTAAATTCGGTTTGTAAAAACAAATAAAAATTTTGACAAGCGTAGGTAGTGTGCTTTATGTAGTAGATATGTAAACAAATTAGGTTTACAAAATCATTTATAAATCAACTAAAATTTAATTATTCTTGGAAATATTTAGAATTTTTCATATTCAGTGTATGTATAATTTTTAATTTCTGTTTTTTTGAGCCAGTGAAATTAAATTTTGCCGGGTCGATTCTAATCAGAATCAATGATTCATAGAAGTGATCCGAAAACGAATAAAAGTCCTGGCGGATCCACCGATTGGTTTTCAAAAGGGGCCACGATTACTATTGGTACCCGTGAAAGACGTCTTAATTTATAGGTTCTCAAAACACTATGGTTATATCCAGTATCAGTTTTAAATTCAGAAGGCCAGTTATCGTGCTGACATTTTGCAATAAGATCTTCGATAATATCAGTTGGACAACGACTTTTAATCAATGCGTCCCTTATAAATCCCTATAAACATAAAAACGGTTAAACATGTTTTCCAATAATGTATTTTATACAAAAATTACTATGTCATAATCCCTAGATGTAGGCACTAAACTAGTCCAATTTGTAACAGTCTTTTCTTCTAAGGATTTTGCCCATTCATCATATGTGGGAAATGGTCTCGGGCCCACGGTCTAAAAAAACAATTAAACGGTAGTTAATTCGAAAAACAAATACTGACTAAGTTCGGACGGATAAAAAATATTTTATAGTCTGCATGCTCTCTTGGCGCGAACAACTTGACAAGTACTTATTCATAACAGAATGTATTTATTATAACAATAGCAAACGTATAGTTTTGCAATTAAACATTTAGTAAAGTTAAGTATACATTAAAAAATATATATTATCTAGGCATATCTTTAAAATGTGATTCAGCGTTAATTGAAAATGTATTAATTTATTACCTACTAATTTTTATTATGTACTTAAAACAAAAAAAAAAAAAACAATTACATTATTTTCCATATGACCATACTCGTTCGTATGTGACAATATTTTGTTGTTTCTGTTCTAATATAGTATCGTTTTTATCTGCACAAAATACCTACTTCACCGGCCGTCTTAAATTTTAAACTTGGATGACTTAAAAATTAATTATCCCTAACTGGTTATCGATCAGTGACAACGTTCAGTAAATTATTCTGCAAGATTATTCTCTTGCATTTAGTCGAGAAGAAGTCATTTAATTTAGTGTCATAAGTAAATGAGTATAGGCTATTCAAATAGGTAGCAAAAAAAACCTAAAAATGCAAAACATTTTGTGGAGTTACAAAAAACATAAAATATTTTTTGTACCTACTAAAATAAACAATCAAAATACAATCCTCGATTATATTTACCTGGTTTGGAGGATTCGAACTATTTGATTCAAGACATTGGCCAGCGTTCACTGAAACCTTAAAATATGGCGATAAAAATATAATTTTCCATATAATTTTTTTGTTTATCAACTGTGAATTACCAGTAACACTAAAAAATAACTAGAGAAATAAAAATCAGGAACAGCATTGAAAATTCGTTAGTTCTAAGTATTTATTGCAGCTACCATGTTTATTTTACTACCATTCTAATAACATCTGTTACATTGTACTTCAGAAGTATACAAACATAATATAGGTATTGACTAAATGAGTATTAACCGTCGAGTGTTAAAAGTAAAATTGGATTGTATTTATGTATTTTTCCAGTCCCGAAATTAGTATGAAAAGTTTTAGGTATGGATTTAAAAAAAAAGTAATCCAATAAAGTATATTTACACCCAAAATGTTTATACATTTAAAAATTGTTGAGAAAATATGTATAGAATTAGTAAACTTTCTTTGATATTTTATTCTACGAATGCAAAACATTTTGCGGAGTTACAAAAAACATAAAATATTTTTTGTACCTACTAAAAAATATAATTAAAAGACATTACTCGATTATATTTACCTCGGTAGGTTTGTCAAGACATTGACCAGCGTTCACTAAAACGTTAAAACACGGCAAAAAAAATATAATTTTCCAAATCATTTTTTCGTTTATCAATTGTGAATTACCAGTAACACCAAGAAACAACTAGATAAATAAAAATCAGGAGCATCACTGAACATTAGTTAGTTTTAAGCATTTATAACAGCTTTCATGTATATTTTACTGTAGCCAGCCATTGTAATAACATCTGTTAACATCGTATTTCAGAAGTACCTTTACTAACATAATCCATGTATTGACTAAACGAGTATTTAAAAACATTTATATCCCTGATATTTTTAGAACCAAAAAAATTAATATGTTAAATATATCAATATACAGAGCCTCAAGTCAGGGAATCATTGATGAAAATGTTTCTTTTAAAGAAACCCGATCAAACGACAAAATATATTGGGCACAAGATGTACTTTTTGATAGCTTTAAATTTAAGTAAATAAGTAACTCTTCCTAAAAAATAAAGTTGGTCCAACTAAAACTACGATTAATTTAAGGGAGCAAAACATTTCCAGTTGAACCGACTTAATAAAAACTTGGCCCAACTAATATTTGGTTATTATAGGGATTAAGGGTACAGTTTATTTGTATTTGAAATAACTAAATAAAAAGATGTTCCTCTAAACATTGAGTTGGGCAAATTATTTATTTAGTTTTCCCAACAAGAAATTAATCGTGTTTCTCTATTAACTATATTTTAGATGGTCCAAATATGTATTTTTTCTGTGTAAGAGGGTGGTATACAAAATAGTAGTATGATCTTGAAGTATAATGTTGAAATCTTAACGATCGTTAAATTTTAAATAATTGTAATTTTTAGTCTTTCTAAAAGAAAAATCTTCGATTAATTAATTTCGAAACTATTAGGCGTCGAATAAAATTCAAATATATTTAATATACATAATTTAACAAATATTATTCAAACTATGTAGATACAGTGTTATTAGAGTATGACGCAAAAGGCAATGTTATTTGTAAAATAACAGACCTTCCATGTTTCTAAAAAACACCATGGCCGGGCAAAAAATATTTCGATAACAAAAAACAATTTGGGTTAGAGCAGTACAAAATTGTTTTCCAATATTACAAATATTCCTGATATTTTTCGAACACAACAATTCAAAATATTTAATATATATTATACATCACTATACACAGCCATAAGTCATAAAATCTGTGATACCAGCATAATATGGTAAGGGACACATCATTATTAGTTAGAATTTTATTTTGAATTCAGACACGTTAGAATTATTTTATATCAAACTATGTGTCACATGCCGGCCACTCAGTGGCCACTCGGCGGCCACGCTGTGGACGTATGTGTGGCCAGATACCCAAAAATTATGTTACATATCAATTCAACAAGTATTTTTCTTCCGATTCCAAATCTGAAATGATTTTTTTTGTAAGACAATTTTTTAATGAAATACCAGTTCTATTTTAATAATTTAAAAATTTTAAAAAAATGAATACCATTTATTGTACTTATAGAGCATCCTGAATGTTTCATTTGAAGCTCGGTAGATTTTTACATAACACCCTGTATATATATGTATCTATTATTAAGTCGACTTTTATATTAAGTTTTAGTCGCAGCGGTACGGTGGTCAACTATTAAAACTGTATTTTTAAAGACAACCTGTATTGATAATGCCTTTGCTTTATTCATTTTATAGACCGATTTTTATCACTCTCTTAATTTAAGTTGTTAACGTTCGTTTTTGGAAAACTACCCTACAGATAAATCAAAATATACCTAAAAGTGCGTGCATTCTTTAACTCAATTGCACATTGTAAATGGTCTGGTTTTTTATGCAACTTTTTCCCCAGAGCCATTAAGTTAACTTAAATTCTATAAACCTGTGATTACACATCATTTTATTTTTATAAATATTATTCACCGGATGTACGCCCATGTAGCTAGCCGAGTGGTCCGTTACAATTCTAAATACTGAAGAGTATAAAATAGGGAAATACAATAAAATAAAGAAAGGAATTTTATAGCTTTATTAAATCAACATCTAGATCAATATAATACATTCATTTTATTTAATTCGGTTAGTAAAAACAAATAAAAATTTTGACAAGCGTAGGTAGTGTGCTTTATGTAGTAGATATGTAAACAAATTAGGTTTACAAAATCATTTATAAATCAACTAAAATTTAATTATTCTTGGAAATATTTAGAATTTTTCATATTCAGTGTATGTATAATTTTTAATTTCTGTTTTTTTGAGCCAGTGAAATTAAATTTTGCCGGGTCGATTCTAATCAGAATCAATGATTCATAGAAGTCTTTCTAAAACGAATATAAGTCCTGGTGGATCCACCGATGGATCCTTCGATAAGTTATCTAGAGGGGCCACGATTAATATTGGTGCATTTGGGATACGTCTAAAATTAAGGTTTCTCAAAACAGTTATGTCATATCCAGTATCATTTTTTAAATAAGCAGGCCAGTTTTGGATTGCAGATTTCTCGAGAAGAGGTGTCACAAGACGACGTGGACATCTACTCTTAACCAATGCCTTCCTTGTAGCTCTCTATAAAAATAAAAACGGTCAAACATGTTTTTTAATAATGAATTTTAAACAAAAATTACTCTATCATCATCCCTAGGTGTAGGTTTCAAACTAGTCCAATCTGTAACGTTATATGCTGGTAAGGAATTTGCCCATTGATCATATGTTTCATATGGTATCGGGTCTACGGTCTAAAAATAAATTAAACGGTAGTTTATTTGAAAAACAAATACTGACTAAGCAAACTTTTGACGGATAAAAAATATTTTATAGTCTGCATGCTCTTTTGACGCGAATAACTTGACAAGTACTTATTCATAACAGAATTTATTTATTATAACAGAAGTAAACGTATAGTTTTGCAATTTAACATTTAATGTACATTTAACATTTAACATGTATGTACGTAGGAAAAATAGAATACCTAGTAGACGTTTTTTGTATGAACGACAATATTATCACATTAATGTGGTATAGTTAAACAAGGAAAATTCAAGAAATAGTTTATACTATATAGATAGGTGTACTTTATAATAAGTTATAAATATCAGATATAGTTTTAGTGAATATCTCATTAAATACAGAGACAGAACAAGCAGTTGTTACTTTTTAAGATTATTATTTTTTATACATTTATAGTTAATGGTCCTCCCGATTCTAACATATTTTCAATAATATAACCCCAACTCTTATGTGTGAATCTTGTGAACTAAAGTCGTTTTAAGATAACATATATTCTTGATTAACTTTTTAAATTAAGAATAATTAGCTAAAAATGTTGACTGATCAATAACCAGTTTTAGATAATTAGTTTAAATAAAAAATTTAGGATGAAAGGAGGAATGCACTAGAGTAAAGCACATAGATACCAATAATACTTATCTTACCCTTCCTCCAATTCAAAGCTTTAAACTTAAGCAATCTAAAAAGTAGTGAGCCAAAATTAGTTATTGACCAGTCATAATAGTCGGCAAATTACAGCAATTTTAAAAGTAATTTTAAAACTTTAATCAAATGTATACGTTACCAGAAGCAACATAGTTGTTCACTGTTACCATTTAAAAAACTTCAAGTTCATAACGCTTTTACACATAATGGATAAGCTAATTTTTTTAAAAATATATTTAAAAACTGGACTAACAGATATGAGAAAAAAATAATTAAAAAATACCTATTATCTTGTGAGATATTCACTGACAAACCTGACTCATAGTTAACGAACCATGCAACTCGTACACACAGTAGAATTTTAAATAATAAAAACATTTAATTGTACTCCGAGGATAATCATTATGATTAAATTAAAAAAATAACGGCTGGTAAAAAAATATTTTTAATATATTTAAAAAATTACTCGTTCCACTTATTTTAATTTTTTATCGCGACAATTAAAAAAGTCGTAATCGAATCAGAAATCCAGAACTTTATTATATGTTATAGATATGATTTACAGAATGAAATAAATTATTATTAAAATGTATCATTTACACATAACACATTTGAAATAATCAAATTCTGCTTTAAATCAATAAAATATAATATATGCTAGGATATTTTGTTTTATTTTTGGTACTGTACATGCTATATATTAAGTATATAGCTGAAAAATATGTAAATATAATAGCAATATAAATGAAGTTTTTTTATTAAAAATGTACATATGATGTATATACCTACATTTTATATTACACAATAGATACACTGAATGAAAAATTCAATAATTATCCATTTTTTTACAATTAAATTACGCAAAAGAAGTATGATTATTTATTATTATTTATTCAAATAATATTTTATTCGAAAATTTGTTTTTCAAAATTATTCGAATAAATTGCGACAACATTATTCGAATAACTTTTTATTCGAATAAGAATTTGCACAACTCTGAATATAGTATACCTATACGTTGGGCAGGGGAATGCGGGACGACATATTATAAATTGCCATGTACACTCGTTAATGTACTCGCGATCATTCATTTTTGCGGTCCCCAAATCAGTATGAAAGTACTAGGTATGTAGTTAAAAAAAAAAATTTATCCAGTAAAGTAGATTTACACCAAAAATGTTATTACATTTGAAAATTGTTGAGAAAAAATGTATAGAATTAGTAAAATTAATTTGATATTTTATTCTAAGAACGCAAAACATTTTGTTGAGTTACAAAAAACATAAAATATTTTTTTTACCTACTAATAAAAAGAATCAAAATACATTACTCGATTATATTTACCTGGGTTTGAGGATTTGGAGAATTTGGAGTATTCAAAGAAGATCGTTCACATCCAGCGTTCACTAAAACGGTAAAACACGGCAACAACAATATAATTTTCCAAATCATTTTTTCGTTTATCAATTGTGAATTACCAGTAACACTAAGAAACAACTAGATAAATAAAAATCAGGAGCAGCACTGAATATTGGTTAGTTCTAAGTAGGTATTTATAACAGCTACCGTGTTTATTTTACTGTAGCCAGCCATTGTAATAACATCTGTTAACATTGTATTTCTGAAGTATAGAAGGCAATGTTATTTGTAAAAAAACAGGCTGTTCGTGTTTTTAAAAAACACTAAGAGCCGGAATAAATATTTCGCTAGCAAAAAACAGTTTTGGTTAGCGTTGTATAAAATAATTTTCCTATTTTTCATATATTCCTAAAACTTTTTGAACCAACATATTATTATACACAGCCTAAAGTCAGAATATCATTGATGAAAATGTTTCATTTAAAGAAACACGATCAAATAACAAAATATATTAGGCACAAGATGTCTCTTTTGATAGCTTTAAATTTAAGTAAATAAGTAACTCTTCCTAAAATACAAAGTTGGTTCAGCTAAAACTATGATTAATTTAAGGGTAACAAACATTTTCAGTTGGACCGACTTAATAAAAACTTGTTCCAACTAATATTTGGTTATTACAAGGATTAAGGGGTAAAATAAATTTTTAGTTAAAATAACTATATAAAAAGTTGTTCCTCTTAACATTTAGTTGGTAATTGTGTCAATTATTTATTTAATTCTTCCAACTAGAAATAAATCGTGTCACTATATATCCCATAGTTTAAGTAGGATCAACGTTTTGAAAAACATATATAATTAATTATTTTGGAAACCATTATGTTTGGAATAACATTTAAATTGATAAAATTTACATTATTAAACAAATGTTATTCAAACTATATAGAAACAGATTTATTTAAGTATGACGCAAAAGGCGGTGTTATTTGAAAAATAACACACCGTTCATGTTACTAAAAAATTTGTAGTTAGACTGTCTTAATAAAACTTGGTCCAACTAACATTTGGTTATTATACGGATTAGGGGTACCGTATATTTGTATTTGAAATAACTAAATAAAAAGTTGTTCCTCTTAACATTTAGTTGAGCCAATTATTTATTTAGTTCTTCTATTTAGAATTTTATCGTTTCACTATATTATCCCATAGTTTAAGTTGGACCAATGTTTTTAAAAAAAAATTACAAACAAATAATTTGGAAAACTGGCCCAACTCAATGTTAAGAGGAACAACTTTTTGTTTAGTTATTTCAAATACAAATATACTGTACTCTTAATCCCTATAACATCCAAATATTAGTTGGACCAAGTTTTTATTAAGTTGGTCCAACTGAAAATGTTTTGTACCCTTAAATCAATCACAGTTTTAGTTTGACCAACTTTGTATTTTAGGAATAGTACTCATTTACTTAAATTTATAGCTATCAAAAGGGACGTCTTGTGCCCAATATGTTTTGATATTTGATCGGGTTTCATTAAAAGAAGTCTTTTCATCAATGATTTTCTGACCTGAGACTCTGTATCATGATAATTTTTATACTTTAATTTATTTGGTTCAAATTATATCTGGAATATTTGGAATATGGAAAATTATTTTATACAACGCTAACCCAGGTGGGTTTTTGTTTTCGAAATATTTTTTTAGGTTATGGTGTTTTTCAGAAACATGAACCGTCTGTTATTTTTCAAATAATATTGCCTTTTGCGTCATACTTTAATAACACGGTTTCTACATAGTTTGAATAATATTTCTTAAATAATGTATACTATATCTATTTAAATTTTATTCGACGCCTAATAGTTTCAAATCTGTACACACTGTAACTTTTTTAATACTGGACCAATTACATTTTTAACCTTCCTTCCTTGTCTGATCGTAGGCACGCAGCTGACTTAGTAATCCCTAATTTTCTTCTGTCCGTTAAAATTGATTCCCCCACCCTCTTTTTACAAAATAACTTTAAAATCTCTGTACGTTCCACACGCCCTTCTTTCTGTTCCTTATCCAGCATTCTTGTACAAACTAATATCTAAACTCCTCTAAACACCGACGCCTTCACTTCTTCTCTATGATTTATCCCTGTTTTGTGTGAATAAGTAAAATGTTTCCAAATTTAAATAATATGAGTATTATAGTTCTAGTTATTGTTGGTTGTTATTTGCATGGGTTCTCTTATAAGAAAATTATTCATCAATGATTTTCAGACTTGAGGCTCTGTATAATAATATTTTAACATTTTGATTTATTTGTATCTAATAATATCAGGAATATTTTAAATATTGGACAATTATTTTAAACAAAGCCTACAAAAATTGTTTTTTGCTAGCGAAATATTATATCTGGCTCTGCTGTTTTTTAGAATCATGAACGTTGTGTTCATTTACAAATAACACTGCCTTTTGCGTCATACTTTAATACATCTGTTTCTATAGTTTGAATAACATTTGTTAAACAATGTACATTATATAAATTTAAATTTTATTCCACACATAACGGTTTCCAAAATAATTAATTGTAAACGTTTTTAAATGTATTTGTTATTCTTAAACTATGAGATATATTAGGAACAAGATAAATTTCTAGTTGGAAGAACTAAATAAATAATTGACCCAAGTCCCAACTAAATGTTAACGGAAAAAACTTGTTATTTAGTTATTTTAACTAAAAATTCATTTTACCCCTTAATCCTTGTAATAACCAAATTTTGGTTGGACCAAGTTTTTATTAAGTCAGTACAACAATAAATGTTTTATACCCTTAAATTGTATATATGGAAGATTTACTTATTTACTTTAAGTTATAGGTATCACAAAGTACATCTTGTGCCCATTATATTTTTTATTAGCGCGGGTTTCTTTATAAAGACCTTGTTCATCAATGATTTTCTGACATGATGCTCTGTATAATAATATTTTAACATTTTGATTTATTTGGTTCGAAAAATATCAGGAATATTTTAAATAACCTGCTCCCATACCACGCTTTCAAACTCCCCCTTAACGATGAATTTCCATGCGATCAAATAACAAAATATATTAGGCACAAGATGTCTCTTTTGATAGCTTTAAATTTAAGTAAATAAGTAACTCTTTCTAAAATACAAAGTTGGTTCAGCTAAAACTATGATTAATTTAAGGGTAACAAACATTTTCAGTTGGACCGACTTAATAAAAACTTGTTCCAACTAATATTTGGTTATTACAAGGATTAAGGGGTAAAATAAATTTTTAGTTAAAATAACTATATAAAAAGTTGTTCCTCTTAACATTTAGTTGGTAATTGTGTCAATTATTTATTTAATTCTTCCAACTAGAAATAAATCGTGTCACTATATATCCCATAGTTTAAGTAGGATCAACGTTTTGAAAAACATATATAATTAATTATTTTGGAAACCATTATGTTTGGAATAACATTTAAATTGATAAAATTTACATTATTAAACAAATGTTATTCAAACTATATAGAAACAGATTTATTTAAGTATGACGCAAAAGGCGGTGTTATTTGAAAAATAACACACCGTTCATGTTACTAAAAAACAGCATAGCCGGATAAAATATTTCTCAAAAAACAATTTTGGTAGGCTTTGTATAAAATAATTATCCAATATTTCAAATATTCCTGATATTTTTCGATCCAAATAAATCAAAATGTTAAAACGTTATTTTACAAAGTCTCAAGTCATAAAATCGTTAACTAATAAGGTTCTTAGAAAGAAACCCTTTCAAATAACAAAATATATTTGGCAAAATAAGTACCATGTGCTACCTATGAATTTAGGTAATTAAGTAACTCTTCCAAAAATACAAAGTGGGACTAACTAAACATATAGTTTTATATGGGTAAATTACATTTGTAGTTAGACTGTCTTAATAAAACTTGGTCCAACTAACATTTGGTTATTATACGGATTAGGGGTACCGTATATTTGTATTTGAAATAACTAAATAAAAAGTTGTTCCTCTTAACATTTAGTTGAGCCAATTATTTATTTAGTTCTTCTATTTAGAATTTTATCGTTTCACTATCCCATAGTTTAAGTTGGACCAATGTTTTTAAAAAAAAATTACAAACAAATAATTTGGAAAATATTATCCATCGAATAACGGTTTAATGGATATAATATACATTGTTTAACAAATATTATTCAAAATATGTAGAAATACTTTTATTAAAGTATGACGCAAAAAGCCATGTTATTTGTAAAATAACAGACCGTTCATGTTTTTAAAAAACACCATTGCCGGAAAAAATATTTCAATAACAAAAAACAATTTGGGTTAGCGTTCTACAAAATAATTGTCCAATATTCAGAATATTCAAAACATTTTTTGAAACAAATAAATCAAAATATTAAATTTATAATTTTAGAGAGTCTCAAGTCAGAAAATCATTAAATGAATAGGTTTCTTTTTAAGAAACACGATCAAATAACAAAATAAATTGGGCACAAGATGTCCCTTTTGATACCTATAAATTTAAGTAAATAAGTAACTCTTCCTAAAATTCAATGTTGGTCCAACTAAAACTATGATTAATTTAAGTACAAAATATTTTCAATTGGACCGACTTAATAAAAACTTGGTCCAACTAATATTTTGTTATTATAGGGATTAGGGGTACCGTATATTTGTATTTGAAATAACTAAATTAAAAGTTGTTCCGCTTAACATTGAGTTAGGCCAATTATTTATTTAGTTCTTCCATTTAGAATTTTATCGTTTCCTCATATTATCCTATAGTTTAGGTAGAACCAACATTTTTAAAAACGTTAAATTAATTTTTTTGGAAACTAATATGTGTGGAACAACAATTTAATCGATATAATATACATTATTTAACAAATGTTATTCAAACCATATTGTAACAGATTTATTAAAGTATGACGCAAAAGGGAATGTTATTTGTAAAATAACAGATTATTTATGTTTCTGAAAACACTAAAGCTGGGATAAATATTTCGCTAGCAAAAAAAAATTTTGGTTGGCTTTGTATAAAATAATACTTTATGAAAAGAAAATCTTTCAGGAACAAACAGGAGAGGTTGGAAGGTAGATTTAGATGAATAACAAAGACCATGGACTTCGTTTGA